AATGTTTTCCACATTCCAGCTAAAATCACCTGGCACCTCAGAAACGACCAGCTGCCATACTTCAGCACATGCTGGTAGCGAGGAGTCCTGAGCCTCAAGTTTGGTCCTGACTCCACCCTTTTCTCTCTGCATCACCTCTCTGGAAGTCACAAACTCCTCATCTTACAGTGAGGGAGAACTAAATAGCTCTAAAGCTGCCCTGTACAGCTGACAGTCAAGGTTGGCAGATTTGTGTGGCTCTGGCAAAAGTACCCACCAAGGGGACATGTTGGCAGGGCCCTAGAAGTTTCCTAGTTTCTGCTCTTTTTGGGGTGGCTACAGATGGAGAAAGGGCTGAAGCATCTGGAAGCAGGATAGGCAGAAAGACAGTTTAGTGTAAAAGGAAGAACATTAGATTTGAGCAAAAAGAATGTGGCATCTCCATCTACTAGCTGAGTTCAAGACATTTTATTTATAAAATGGGGATAAACTAGGCACAATGGCTCATGCCTGTAATCCCAGCACTTTGGGAGGCAGAAGTGTGAGGATCACTTGAAGCCAGGAGTTCAGGACCAGCCTGGGCAATATAGCAAGTCCCCATCTCTACAAAAAATTTTAAAAATTAGCCAGGTGTGATGGCACACATCTGCTGTCCCAGCTATTCAGGGAGGCTGAGGCAGGAGGACTGCTTAAGCTCAGTAGTTCAAGGCTGCAGTGACCTATGATCACACCACTGTACTTCACCCTGGATGACAGAGCAAGATCCTGTGTCTAAAAAATAAAATTGAATTTAAAAAAAATTTTTAGTGTGGATAATCATGCCTTTTTCCCTTAAATTTATATAAATAGTCCTCAACTTTCATTCAACCTGAACTTTCAAAAATTATACATTGACAATTTTATCCTACTCCAGAAAGCCCCACTCAAAACTACACACAAAAGCTGCATGACATTCGGGCCCTCCCACCAGTCATCAGTTTGGTTTTGGCAACTTTGCTAGTGGAGCCATATTTATTGAATTATTTAAGAAATGTACTGCATTACCTGCTTCTTTTAATGACAACTTCCCTTTAATTGACACAAAGGACAAAAATAGAAATAAGTACCCAAATGCCAGTTCTTAAAAGCTTGATCCAGTGTCCAATGGACTTAAAGATATTAATAGTTAAATGTGTACTCAAATGTAAGGGAAAAGAACAAAAGTGAAAAATGCTGGAAATGTATGAGCCAAGATTATGCCTAAAAGGCAAAGTACAGTTACAGATTTTACACTATTTTTCAGCTTTTAGGCAACAGAGCCCCTCATTATAATGCCTAAATCCCAGGCATGGGGAACCTTTTCACGATGGAAGGCCGAATTAATTTAGCTGTAATCAAATAAGGTCACATTCAAGAAACTTCAATTAGATATACTTAAAAATGTACATTATTTTGTAAAAATCTAACTACTACGTACTTAATTTCAAAAAATAAAAACTATTTGTTAATTTTAAAGTTAACTAACCTTTTAACGACTTTGTTGTGTCTGCTTTTTGTTGGAAAGCATCTGAGTATTTGGTTGTAGCATGGAGGTCCCCAGTTGCAGTCGATCCTCTAAATGGGTATCAGTCATTTGTGACCTTAAGGACATCTTCATTTGGGTTAGGTAGGAGAATGTAGATTCACAGCAATAAGTGGTTGAAAAACAAGAAAGTATTTTTCAAGCACGTTGACAAAGACATGGGTATTCCACTGCATTTTTCCATATTTCAACTGGATCTTTCTTAGCATCAAACGACTTTAAAATGCATCTACTGAGAGCTCAACCAATTCCATCTGTAGTTCTTTAGGTGCCTTGGTGATATCATCTAGATGAGGCTGAAATGCTAATTTGAGTGTGATGTCATGATTCCCAAAGTCAGTGAACCTTTCATTGTATTCTCTAATTAATAGGTTTATAACAGCTGCATAGTCTTCAAATGATTCACATCTATCATCTTGCTGATCAATGACCTTTGCTAACCGGGGAAAATGTTCATCCAAAATTTCCTTTTGAAGAAGAGTTTTGAAAATGACAGCTTGGATTTTTTGCCACATATCATATGTAGACTTAGTTTTACCTTGCAAAGAAATATTCAAGTTGTTTTGATTTAACATATCACACAGAAATGCTGCATTCCTATAGAAATCTGATTTCAATAATTCACATTGCTGATTCTGTTCTTCATAAAATTTAACTATCTGTTCTTGCAGAGATAAAATTTGGGCTAATACCCGTCCCTGCAATAGCCAATGCACTTTAGAATGATATGGCAAATCCACACTGAATATGTCATCATTCAACTTTAGCATTGCACGAATATAGTTAACAATACTTATAACTTGTTGCAAAGTTGTCACTTAAAATAGTAGCTTTAGCATAGAAATTTTGCTGATGCAAGATACATCAGCATCTGCATCCGTTAATATTTTTTTATCTGTGCAATAAACCTTTCCTGTTTTTCTGTCATGGAAGGTACACCGTCTGTACTTCTACTCACTAAATTTACCAAATTCAGTCCAACTTCCTGACATTTACGTTGACAGTTGTTGAAGATATCTATTCCCCGTGTTCTGTTCACAAGAGCACCCCAAGCGAGTAACTCTTCATGGCAAAATCTGTCATGACCCAAATGAAGTATAAAACCTGCATTGAGTCAGTAGTATCACTTGATTCTTCCAAAGTGATTGAATAATACATATTTTCCTTTTGAAGTATTGCATGAAGTTGTTAAGTTGAAAGCTAATCCATCAGTTATGGTTCTCCTTGAAAGAGGCAGTTGTTTGTACTTTGAAACGTTACCAGGGTCTAAGCATCCTACAACTCCGACAATGCGTTCTTTCACCACTTCTACATCTCTGAATGGCTTCCCCTTTTTCCCCCTGAGTATATAAGCTACTTATAAGTTGCTTCAATGGCATTATTTCCAGGTCTTGTTGCTGCTTGAAAGAATTGTCTTTGCTTTTGCTTTTCATTTTTTAATTTCTATAATACAACCTTTCATGCCTCTCCCTCTAATTTAAAATATTTATGGTCCTTATGAGTGTTATAATGCTGAAGAGCATTGTATTTCTTTAATATTGATATTGCAGTATCACAAAGCAAGAAAATCATCTTATCTTTAGCAGAAACAAGGTAATACTGCAATTCCCAATCCGCCTTTAAAAGTCTGTTTTCTTCCTTCAGCATTCTCATTGTCTTTTTTCTTTTTTTTTTTTTTCCGAGACAGAGTCTCTCTGTTGCCCTGGCTAGAGTGCCGTGGCGTCATCCTAGCTCACAGCAACCTCAAACTCCTGGGCTCAAGCAACCCTTCTGCCTCAGCTTCCCAAGTAGCTGGGACTACAGGCATGTGCCACCATGCCCGATTAATTTTTTCTATATATATTTTTAGTTGTCCAGTTAATTT